TGGGCTGCATAATATAAAAGTGACTGGCGAAGCAGCATCAGCAGACACTGTGGCAGGGGAAGCATACCCTGCAGAGTTTGCTAACCACATAGCACAAAAGGGTTATAGGCCGGAACAAGTTTTTAATGCTGATGAGACAGGCCTATGGTGGAAGAAGATGCCACGCCGAACCTACATCTCTAAAGAGGAAAAAAGTGCCCCTGGATTTAAAGTTGCGAAGGACCGAGTGACAGTGATGCTATGTGGGAATGCGGCAGGGCATATGATTAAGCCCATGTTGTTATACACTGCCGCACGACCTCGGGCTCTCAAAAATAAAAACATGAACTTGCTACCAGTTTTCTACAGGAACAACAAGAAAGCGTGGATGACATCTGATTTGTGCGTGGATTGGCTGAAAAACTGCTTTGCTAGAGAGGTGAAAAATTATCTGGATGAACTTGGCATGGAGTTCAAAGTGGTATTATGTCTAGATAATTGCCCTGGCCACTCTGAAGAACTCAAGACTGCCCACCCCAACATTGAGGTGGTTTTCCTGCCAAAAAACACCACCTCCATCATCCAGCCAATGGACCAGGGAGTCATTGTCGTGTTTAAGGCTAAATATGCAGAGAAGACTTTCAGCATGATTCGTGAGTGCCTTGATAAGGATGCTGATGTGACACCCAGAGAAATGTGGAAGAAATTTGATATTGCACAGTGCATAAACTTCATCGCTGAAAGCCACAATGAACTGTCGCAGAACTGTGTCCGATCATGTTGGAAAAAATTGTGGCCTGAAATTGTCCCAACATTCACAGGGTTCCCAACAGCCGAGCCTCAGTTACGCAACATAATAACTATGGCAAATGAAGTTGGAGGTGAAGGGTTCTCTGACCTAACAGCGGCAGAGGTGCAAGAAGAGTTATTGGGAAATGTTGGGGATCCATTTACAAGTGATGAACTAGAACAATTAGTGGAGCTGCAGGATGAAACAGACGATGAAGTGAGTGATGATGAAAATAAGAACTTAACTTTAGATAATCTTGGTGAAGTGATAAGAATGAGTAAGGCCCTCTCTGCTCGTCTCTATGACATTGATCCCTCCCTTGATAGGTCCCTTAAAGCAAAGAGAGCTATTGAAAATGTTATGTTGCCATATATAGAACTGCAGAGGGAAATGAGAAGCAAGAAAGCACAGACCACCATCACCAACTTCTTCAGTCGCCGAGTGCCTGCCATCGCCGAACCTGCCGACACCTCACAACAACAAGACGTAGAAGCTGCCGGCACCTCACAACAATAAGACGCAGTACCTGCCCACACCCCTCAAGAAGATGCAGACCTTGACTAATCATACTCATCTGACTGGTCAGGCTTTTAATAAGCCTCAATCATCACACTTGTATATACTGTATACAGTGATCTCGGTTAACGGTCTCAATCCGTTCCAGAAGGTCGTTCGTTAACCGAAAAGTTCGTTAACCGAAACCATTGTTTCAATGGGTTTTTGGGTAATTGGTTCCAGTTTACCGAAAATTTCCTAAATTCAACAAAAATGGTAGAAAAGTTCACTTACTTTGAGGTGTGTATGTAGAAGGCTCCTGGATGATGATGATGATGTGCATTTGAAGTGGGAGGTGGAGGAGAAGGGAGAAGAGAAGGCATTGAGGTGGAAGAGAAGTCACCCCATGGCACCATTTCACCCATAAAATTTTAGTTCTCTTGGTGTATTTCAAGATTATTTTCTTTAAATCAACACTGCACTGCATTATATATTGTCAATATGTAAAATAAATTTCAAAATGACCAATAATTTGCTTGGAAACACAGAAAAAAAGTGTTTAGTTGAAGAGAGTCTCAAGCAAGATGTTACCTCCAGTGAAAACAGAGAGAGACTAACGCCTGTTTGCTGTGTTAAGAGGCTGGATGCCGCGCATTAAACTAGTCACTTTACCTTCAATTATGTTCAATAATTGTTAAAATGACCAAAAAATTGAATATTGAACTTTTAAAATTATTGAATAGTATAAACTTCTTGATATTTACTAAAATAGTAAGGAATTTAAGCCCTAGAACCGATTAATGTATTGGCGGACTGATACTAAAGCTGGTTGCCCGGTCAGTGCAAGCGAAAAACATGTTGAGGTCGGTTCGTAAGAAATTCGTTAACCTAATTTTTGTCTGCTAACCGACTCAAGATCCTTATGGAAGCAGTTCAAGAACTGGAAATTTCTAACCGGGTTGCCAGTAAACGAGGGTCACTGTATACTGTATTGTTTACTGTAAGGACCGACGTTCACTTCAATAAATTAAATCGTAAGTTTGCTAGTATTTTTGTCCACTTATTATATTATTATTTATACACTATTATTTAAGGTTATGTGTAAAGGAAACGCATTAATGCTTAAAGGTACATTTATTCAACATATGCTAATAATAGTTAGAAAAATTACGCAACCATCACGGTATCGACGGTTTCTTTATCGACGGCCGTTTACAGAACGTAACCCCCGTCGATAAAGAGGGAGTACTGTACTGTTCTAAGCTCACAAACAGTTACACCACACAACTTGTGAAGGCTGCTGTAACACTGAACCAACTTTTTCTGAAATTTCAAATCACATCCAGGCTCAACCGTCGCATCGGTTCTGGTATTGTTCTTTGTACATTATTTGTATTTGGAATTGAAGCCTTTATATTCCAATGCAAATAGCATGCTTTAATATTACCTGAATATAAGACATGGAAGAAATTTTTTTCTGTCATTTATAATGTCAAATTTTTTTGTGGTGGGGGGGGGAGGTTATTGTACTGTGTACTGCAGGATATCATAATACTACTTTATAAAGCAATTTCCCCTGTATACGAATCGGTTATTAAACCGTTATTTGTACTGCTCGAAGACAGTTTCATATTTTGTATTGCCAAAGGTTATGTTTCCCAATTTTTGTTTACAGAATATTTAACTAGGCTAGTGACTACAGTGCATTTTTTCTCAGCTGAGAAAAAATGCCCCGCCCTCTCCTCAAGAGTTACAGCTGATTGGCTGTTGCAAACTTGTCCGATTTTGTCCTGAGTAATGATGTATTTCTAAATGAGTTTATTCATAATCGTTGGGATGACTTTCTGATGAGAAATATATTTCAAATTTAATATATATCAGAATCACATTGAATTATTACACTACCGTCAGCAGAGGCAGGAAAAATATGAAGTAGTTCGCAGTCATATTTCCTGCCTCTGCTGACGGTCATGTAATATTTCAATGTGATTCTGATCTTTTAAAATGTTGTTTTTGCATAATGTAGTATTACTGATAGGTAATTTGTCTTAGTATGTCTTATTGTAGGTCAAAATAAGTATACGCATATTAAATGCATCCTCTGAAAGCATGAATTTGCTACCTGAGTTTATCAGTTAATTCACGTATAAAACATCTGATAAACTTCCTAAGTGCTCTTGATTGAAATAATGAAGGTATGTATCTTTATATAATTTAATTAAATATCTTTCTCGTCAGAAACGGTCATTATGAATAAACGCCGGTTAATGTCCGACCGAACAACGTCCGATCGCATATACGTCATATACGTCCGTGCCCCCCCCCCAAAGTGACGCCTGCTGGACCACCACTCCACGACCCCCTGACGGAGACACGATGATCCTCCCCATACTGGTCAGATATTATGTGTTAAAGGAATATGCTTCCTTACTTAGGCTTTTTTTAAGCATTTGCCTACAGGTGAAATGTTAACCTACATCTATTGAGGATAAAATCTTTCACCTACAAATTGACAATAACACATTTGCTGTAATCAGACATATCTAGTTGCCTCAACAATTGCAACCCCAGTTGCAATTGGGGTTGCAATTTCAAATTCTGTGGCATTACTAAAAATAGTAAAGTTTCTGGTGCACTCTAAGATTAAGAGAGAAAACGGAGGACTCAGGCGTCCTGATGTGAGAGAAAACGGACTCATATGACGGGGGACCAAATAAAAAAAGCATAGCTACATGTTTTGTGGACTACAGTATTAAGCGTACCCTTTTCATCACTTTGTAATAAACCTAGCCATGCCTATGTGTGTTTATGATATTTACCATAACATTATATATATATTTAGTGGGTCTAAATGGTCGTAAAATGGGAAACTTGGGGTTGGGTCTTGGGTGCCTGAACCAATTGGAATAAATCCCATAGATTCTGTACGTTCGTTATCGGCGGGGTCCCAATTAGGCTCGATAACCAAGGGATGACTGTACTGTACTGTATATACTTGTGACACTGGCCAGTTGCTTCTGGTGTTATGGTACAGGGGTACCAAGTGACAGCACTAGGATCTCGCTTCCTCTATCAAGGAATAAACAATTAAAATTTAAATTGAAAAAAAACATTCAAATAATGGGAACAAGCGAACCGAAATGGACCTAGAGCGGGCACAGTCATGTATGCATCGCGTATTCTTATAGATTGTGCGGCCAGGCATACGTTATCTAGTGAATTTAGTCAATATTGTACAGTAACAATGGACCTAAGTGCAAACCTGTATTGTACATGTACTAAATGATTACGGTACTAAAATTGTTATGTCTATTGCAAATATAGCTTGTTTATACAGGTATTCAAATAAATTACTATCTTACAAGAATCCCTCCAATGTAAGTTATATTCACCCAGGTTGTTTGGGTGGCAAATTATGAGAAGAGCTTAGTCACTCTTAAGTAATGATAAATAAACATGCAGGCAGGCCTTCAGCGCCAACTGTCAAATCTTATCTCAAATAAATAAATAAACAAACAAACGCCAGACATTCTGTCACCCCCCCACCCCGTCTTCCCACCACCCTCGTGTCGTGTTCCAAGATAAAAGATTGGTGATTTCTTTATGTTTATTTTATATAATATCTCAGACTAAAGTTAGGATAATATAATTTGCATTGCTGAAATCCTTGCAAGACAGAGATTAATTTGAATATAAGCGTCATATATTTTGCTCAAGATATAAAAAATGTAGTACATTAGTGTACAATACTGTAGTACATTTTATAAAAAGTTTTTCAACTGTATTTTTGGGTAGATTTACATAAATTTCTTCATTTATTTTCATCCATTTACATGCACACACCATACTAAAAGAAACGTAAAATAAATAAATGACCTTAGTGCAAAGCTGGAGTGCACATGTACTAATTTGATTACGGTACTAAAATTGTTATGTCTAGTGCGAATTACAACATGTTTATATTCAAATAAATCAGTATCTTACAAGAATCCCAGCTATGTTAATTATATTCTCCTAGGTCATATCACTGGCATTTTAAAATGAGAGAAGCTTAGTAGGACTGTTAAATAAACACACAGAGACCTTCGCCTCAAACTTATCACCTCAACCCCCCACCCAACCCCTCGCTGGGTGGCGCGCGGCTGTTTCCGTCAGTCCCCCCCCAGCCAGGCTTTTAGGCTTACAGTTTTTATCTTATATAATATCTCAGACTAAAGTTAGGAGATTATAATTTGCATTGCTGGAATCCTTGCAAGAGAGCCAATAATTTGAATATAAACGTCATATATTTTGCTCAAGAGATAAAAATTGTTGTACATTAGTGTACAGTACTGTAGTACATTTTATAAAAAAGTTTTTCAACTGTATTTTTGGGTAGATTTACATAGATTTCTTCATTTATTTTCATCCATTTACATGCACACACCATACTAAAAGAAACATAATAGAAATAAATGACCTTAGTGCAAAGCTGGAGTGCACATGTACTAATTTGATTACGGTACTAAAATTGTTTTGTCTAGTGCAAATTATAGCATGTTTATATTCAAATTAATCAGAATGTTACAAGAATCCCAGCTATGTTAATTATATTCACCCAGGTCATTTCACTGGCTTTTTATATGAGAGAAGCTTAGTCACCTAAGAACTGATAAATATACACGCGTTAGACCTGGGCCTGTGCCAACTGTCAAACGTACTACCTCCCCTCCCCCCACGCCCCCTCGCTCGCTCCCAGCCTCTCTCTCCCCCATCTGCTTGGCGTTGCTGGAATCCTTGTAAAACAGTGAATAATTTTAATATAAACTTCGTGTATTTTGCACAAGAGATAAAAATTAATCACCTGTATCACATTACAGTTGTGATTTAAGAGTAAAAGTGTATATGTACGTATATAGTATTCCACATACACATAAGTATAAATACAAAGTTTATGTGATGATCGGACAACGTCCATTTCGGTTAACATCACGTTTCCAAGAACGTTTCTAGGGCGTTAACCGGCGCATGACTGTACTTCATTACTAAGGACAAAATCGGACAGGTTTTCAATAGCCAATCAGATGTAACTCTTGAGGAGGGGGCGGGGCATCTTTTCTCAGCTGGGAAAAAAATGCGCTAAATAGTGATATTATTTCACTGCAGAATATGTATACATATGCTGAAAATGAAAGCTATGTTTAGCCTTATATATTGGTGTTGTTTATTCAAATTTTCTGACAATGAAATATAGTCCTGCATTTCTGATTTTACACTCAATTCTGTAGAGCGCAGTGCTGACTTACGTTAGTTTAGTACACCTGTGGACCCCTGCTCTAGTGTGATGGCAGCTTTATGTAATTTGTCTTGTAAATATTTTATAAAAGTGCAGTTGTTATTTCAGTATTTGTCTTCAGTTGTCTTTGCTACTTTCCAACACCATACTCCACTTTTGAGGTTTCCCTACCACCTCACAAGTGAAGATGTTGGATAGATAGATGATTTTCATAAGATATTGACATATATGTTTATAAGATTGTTTTCATAGGTGAAGCAGTTCCTGGAGGAGTTACAAAGCAACCAACCACCAACTCCATCTTCAGGGCACCGTTGGGATTCTGCTGAGTGTACGGATGTGCAGCTGTTGGCGTATTTGGATCAGTTTGACGAGAAGAACCGAGAGCAAGATAGAGAGTTGGAATTTTTATTAGATATGAAATCCAAGGTAAGACTACTTGCTGAAGTAATATTAGGATCATTTGAAGATTAATCTCACACACACACACACACACACACACACACACACACACACACACACACACACACACACACACACACACACACACACACACACCCACACACACACACACACACACACACACACACACACACACACACACACACACACACACACACACACTGGAGGGAAGATCTATTAGGTGCCTGCTGTGTCAGTTGCCCTGGCCAATGTTGGCCTATTCCCCAAGTCCTTCTCTTTGACCCCTCCTCCCCACAGGGATATCAACATAATCCCATCAAAATTAACAATTTCGTTTTGGAAAGGAGTGGGGTTTGTGTTGAACAGTGTTTAAGCCAGTGAATTCAGCACTAGACAGTACTAGCAAGAACCATAATCCAACATTGAGGCGCACACCCAGAGATAAGCACCCCTGGAAACCGACCACTATGTTCTGACCAGGCAGTATAGTGTTAATCAGTTCATTCTGGGAACAACCGTGTGTCAACTCAACATCTGACTACGAGATAACACAACACCACTTAACAGAAAGTGAGGTACTGTGACACCACACCACACGGTGTCTCCATAACCACGTGAGGTCCTTCACATCAATACCTGATGACGAGTTACTGCACTACATGAACGCACCATCTGGTGTCTGCGACCATGTGAGATCCTTCATATCAACATCCGAGGACGAGTTACTGCACCACATAAACACCACACCACTCGGTGTCTTCATGACCACTTGAGGTCCTTCATATCAACATCTCTGGACAAGTTATTGCACCACGTGGCCTACATGACCTCACACAGTAGGGCAAGATACCAGCCCGGGCCATCAACTGTAAACTATAATTTGTATGTTCAGTTCATGCTCTTCTCCTTTTAGTAATTAAAGCTTTTGTTAAAATACCCACCTACCCCATGTTTTTGTATGTAAAGTCATTTCTGTCCTATGTATATTTTCAGCCTTCGGGCTGTTAAACTTTTTCAATAAATCGCTAATTATTGTTATTATTATTACACACACACACACCAGCTTTATATTACCACAACCTACCAAACAGTGATGTTTATGTATGATGTATAGCAGAGGTGTACTGTAGGCTAAGTGATGGAATGTTGTAAATTTTTTAATGTAAGGAAGAAGCTTTATAGACATAAATGTTGTTTAGAAGTGATCACTTTTTTTAAAATTTAAGCTTCTCTCTCACTCACTCTCAGTGTTACTGTCTTTCTAGGATGTCAGTGGCAGCCAAATGGAAGGTTTATCCATGATGGAGAATTTATCATCCCTGAACCCAGTAGATAGGAAGTCAGAATTTAGTGACAAAATTACATTAGGACCTGTGGACGTGGTGACATCCTCCCCCTGTACCAACGGTGATCCAGAGACGCCGTCTAAAAACACAGCGGGTTGGACTAACTCTCAGGTGGACTTAAGTTCCTTGATGCAGCACCTAAGAAGAGGCACCGATAAAAGAAGGGCAGATGAGGAGGTGCTGGTGTTACATTACTGGATGATGTTACTTGTCAAGTTATAGAGCCCACTTACCATGAGCATATTTCCCCTCAGTTTTTGATATTTTTACTATTTACTAAAGATATTACATTCAGTGTAATTTTGCTAAGTATCTTGTAGGAGAATACATTCTCAATTTTTTTTAACATTTAACTTTTGAGGCCTACAGTTGAAAGAATTCCATAAAAGTAACATGTATCTTGGAGTTAATAGAGGATGCAGTGTAACATCTAAGTAATATTTAACATTAGAAAAAGCCGACAGCAATTTTATTTCACTTTTTTTATTTACTGAATGACAAAAATCATAATTCAACAGGGAGGAGGAGGAGGACCAATAGACATCTGTTTGGTAACCTCCACCACCAACACTCAGGTCACCATCACCCCAGCGGGATGTCAGCCACATGGTATTCGGCCGCCTAAGGTGAAACTACAATTTAATGCAGCTTTGATGCAAAAATTTTAAAGAATATTATGGTTTGGAATATAATGTTCTAGAAAATATTAAAGGATTTTATTTTTGAATGATGGGAGGTGTAAATGGGGGGTGAAGCAGTAATACACATGAATGAGTAGAAAACATGTTGCTAAATGGAAGGTACTTGTTGGTGATGGGTTAGTCTGACCTTATAGAATGCACTGTTAACACATATGAGGTCTTCCAGTCAGCTGGGTATCTTGTTTGACAGGGAATTATTAATGATGAAGTAGAGGGGTTTAGCTAGTTGGAGAGAGAGAGAGAGAGAGAGAAAGAAGAGAGAGAGAGAGAGAGAGAGAGAGAGAGAGAGAGAGAGAGAGAGAGAGAGAGAGAGAGAGAGAGAGAGAGTACTTGCAGGTATTGAAGAACATGGAGAACATTTTGATATCTAGAACACATGCTGGATAGTAGATTGAACATACAGTGAACATTAAGTTACCATAGATGTAACATATCGAATTTCATATGTGTTCATTGTTTTTAGTTCTTTGGTAATAAAGCCTTTGAATAAGAATGAGTGTACAGTATTTAGCCCAGCCTTACAATACGCAGGGATACAGTGTTAAAAGTCATTTAATATACATGTGGAAAGTGTCTCATTTCGTTGTGTTTGTTGCAGGTGGCACGGTCTGTGTCCCATAGGCCATCCGTCTCTCAGATAAGGAGCATCTACCCCGGGGTGACCTTGCTGAGAGATGTGGACTTCTCGCGAGTACCTTCTGTAATTCTCCAGATGCAGGAAATGATGAGTTACAGGTATGTATTGTAGATGAGTTACAGGTGTGTATTGTAGATGAGTTACAGGTGTGTATTGTAGATGATTTACAGGTATGTATTGTAGATGAGTTACAGGTGTGTATTCTAGATGAGTTGTAGATGTGTATTGTAGATGAGTTACGGGTGTGTATTGTAGATGATTTACAGGTATGTATTGTAGATGAGTTACAGGTGTGTATTGTAGATGTGTATTGTAGATGAGTTACAGGTGTGTATTGTAGATGAGTTACAAGTGTGTATCATAGATGAGTTACAGGTGTGTATTGTAAATGAGTTACAGATGTAGAAGGGATGTATAGATTGAAATGATATCTCTCTTATGTATGTGTTTGTGGGGTACTTGTCTGTTCCAGTTTTGTTCCGTTACTTTCTGCACTTGTTTTGCAACATTGTCCTAAGTGCTTCCTTTGTCTTTGAGGTGTCTGCCCCCTTCATCCATGCATCACAATTTCACTATCATTTCCACCAGTTATCATCAGCTTACTATCCATTTTGTTGGTCAGTCTGTTCTTTGGTATGACCCTCATAGTCCAGTGTTAGTACAGGAGGAAACTGTACGAGTACTAACTAAGAGAAAGAAAACCGGACATCTGACCTGGGAATTTGAACCTACGATTACAGTGGTGAGAAGCAAGTGCGTCAATTACTTGATAGCTTTCGTTGAAGCTGTCCAACCAAAAGACTCATGTTATTGGGTCTATCTGGCTTTTTTCCAATCTTGCAAGACTCTTTCCATCATACTGTAACAGGGGATATAACAGGTGGGGAGAGAGGAAGAACAACCGGGACACCATGCCATCAGGTGATCATGATTGACTAACCCACATAAAACTAAACTTCTAGTTGATGTGTTCAGTGGTACTGTCACTGTTAACTCATGTACCTCTCCTACAGTGTACAAAAGGAAATGGAAGAAGCTGACATCAGTCCAAGTGACTTACAGAGACTTGAGGTGGAAGCGCAGTTCCTCCGTGAAGCAGAACCGTTTTACCTGCGAGATGACCCTCAATGGCAGCTCCCTAAATGTAGTAGCAGAATCATGAACAGGTCTTCCAACAAGAAGTGCAACACTATCCCTGACCCTGCCACACTAACTAGAATTATTGCAGAGGCAGGTGTTGTATATGATGCAGGTAGAAATATTGTGTTAGATGATCCTAATGCAATGAAGTGTCCAGGCAAGGCTCATATTGCACGCTTACTCCAGGAGACACAGAAGTTCTTCTTTGTTTGAAATCTCTGGTGTTTAGTGCTAAGGAAGGTCCGTTTCTTTTATTATAGTTCCTTACAGTGAGGAGAAAAAGCTATTGTAAAGTACCTAGACCTAATTAACTTTGGAACTAGTATTCTATTGACCTTAGATCAATTAAATTTAACTTGGGAACTATTATATTACCCTCGGTGTCTTGTTTCAGTATTGCCCCCGGTGCTGCTCTTTTGCCCCCGATGTCTTGTTGCAGTATTTTCCCTGGTGTCTTACAGTATTGCCCTTGGTGCTGCCCTCTTGGTTTCGGTGTTCCTCCAGTGTCTTGCGCTATTGCCCAGTGATGCTTATAAGTCTCCACCACAAAGTTACATTTAAAGTGTTACCAGGTGGATTATCAATTATCCATGCCCGTACAATGCAGTGAAAATTTCTCCACACCTCCACTATAGTAGCATAGTGTTTAAGTGAGTGTTTCTCAGAGTGTAAATAACTTGTAAAGTGGTCAGATGTTTTGTATTTTTTAATATTTTTTTGTACTGAGCTTGTTAGCAATAAATGTACATTCTTCTCTTATTTTCTGTAATTTCATGATTGTCCTCAAACATAGTGAAGGTTGTAACAAAGAACAGACAGACCACCTGAATGGATAGTAAGCTGACCGGTAATTGAAGTGAAGATTTAAATAAATAAAATTACTCATCAAGATTTGACATTTTATCCCAGGAGGAAAAATATTGTTAAACATGTTAACTACTTTGAAGAACATTTTTTTTAAATAATTTTGAAGAACATGTATGAAGTACATTTCTTGACAACAATTTTGAAGAACAATTTCAGAGAACAATTTGGGTGAGAGTTAGTGATTAACCTGTCATTTAAAATATAAAGTCCTGTATCTCACGTAGTCATAAACTTTTTGTAATTATTTTGTTATATATTTTATGCTGTGTTTATATATCAACATATCCAATAATCAATTCAGTATTGCATCAAACTATCTATCGATAGATAGATGAAGTTCTGACAGACAGTCGTCGGTAGTCCTGTCCCCTGTGAGGATATACAGTGGACCCTTCCCGACACTTGAGAGCGTCTCTTGCAATAACAAAAGAAGCTTTGTAAAAAACGTATTTATGCGTGTGTGTTTAAAAAAAAATACATAAATTAAAGACAAATAAAAAAGGTTTAAATGAATAAAATGCAAAGAATAATAATATAAAAAATTATAACAAAATGAAATTACACTAAATTAATATTTGAATTTTGAAATAAAAAGAAATTGAAAAAAAGAAATACTGTATAAACAAATAATATATAAAAGTAAAAACAATAAAATTAAACTAAATAAATATTTCAATAAAGAAATCAAAAGAAAAAGGAAAAAATAAAAACCAAAAGAGACAAGAATTATAAACAGATCCATAAAAAAAAAAAATATATATATATATATATATATATATATATATATATATATATATATATATATATATATATATATATATATATATATATATATATATATATATATATATATATATATATATATATATATATATATATTTCAACACCTCAACCTGCCAGGATTGAACCCACGAGCTTCTTGGCTGCTTGACCAGTGAACGCTAACCACTGGACCACCATGATACTAAAAGCTGTTGTAGACTCTGTTATATTTCACACAAAGCCTGTTCAACGGGCACAGTCGTGAGCCGTGGGTTCGAATCCTGGTGAGTTGAGGTGTTGAGTGCATGTAGAAGTCCGCGTGTTTATTGGGCTAATGAAATATATATATATATATATATATATATATATATATATATATATATATATATATATATATATATATATATATATATATATATATATATATATATATATATATATATATATATATATATATATATATATATATATATATATATATATATATACAGTGAGTTCTGCTATAACGCGTGTTTTGATAACGCGAATTTGCTCTAACGCGATTTATGAATTCGGAACAATATTTGTATAACGCGATCGCTTGTTTGCTATAACGCGATTTTTGCTTACTATTTCTCCAATTTTGTGGTATTAACTGTGAATATAGTAAAGAAGAATATCTCCAAAAAGCGTTCTGATGATAGAATTCCCGGTGATTATCGTAAAAGAAAGGATATAACACTTGAAGAGAAGCTCGATGTTATCAACCTCAAAATCACCCTTCTCCCCCATCAAGTTACATTCATATTTTTTCAAGGTAAAGTGTTAAATTTACTGTATGATTTCATTATTAGATATGAATGTAACATTTATTTAGACTGTGCTATCCTTTGTGTTAGGCTAACTACTAAATTTTTTCGATTTCGAGTAATCTGCACCTAACCCTATTTTCTCCATAAACCCTGTTATTTCTATTACGCGATTTTCTATAACACGATATTTTACAAGAACACAATTATCGCATTATAGCAGAACTACCTGTATATATATATATATACAGTCAACCCTCACTTTACGCGGTCCCACATTCCGCGTTTCCACGTTTACGTGGTGCCCTGCCAGAACCCAGGATGCTCACATTCCGCGGTGGGTGTACCCCTTTACACAAGTGAAGTATAATTTTTTTAATTTAGCTCATAAAATTCATACAAATTATCCGGCCAGAATATAATTTACGTTGCTGGAATTCTTACAATTTAATGATCATTTTGAATATAAACATCATAGATTTTGCGTTAGACATACAAATTTTAGATATAATGTTTACTCTTGAGTAAATATGTTATCTTTTGTGCAAAATATATGATATTTATATTCAAAATATTCCTGGTCTTACAAGGAATCCAGCAATGTCAATTATATTATCCTAACTTTAGTCTGATTTATTATTTATTACTAAAAAGGTAAACAGTCTGGTATTCCCACACATTTATCTAGTAGGGACGTTGGTGGGGGGAGGGAGGGAGGGACCGGCGACCAACCATCTGTTACCGTGTGTAGAATATTTTTTTTTTTATTAACTGAAGATTTTTATTTTAGCTCATAAAATTCATACAAATTATCCGGCCAGAATATAATTTACATTGCTGGAATTCTTACAATTTGATGATCATTTTGAATATAAACATCATAGATTTTGCATTAGACATAAGATTTTTAGATATAATGTTCACTCTGAGTAAGTATGTTATCTTTTGTGCAAAATATATGACGTTTATATTCAAAATATTCCTGGTCTTACAAGGAATCCAGCAAT